ATACATTAAACAACTACACTGTGCATGGCATTGTGTTAGCTGCTCCAGCACATTATTAATCAAAACTCAAGCCTGTCCCTCAAGGAATTGAATGTATTGTACATAAAGAATGCATGTACACAAACAATTATAGTTTAAAAAACTGTAACATTGGGTGGTAAGGCCATAGTACTGACAGAGCTCAGAATATTAAGAGAAGATTCATAACAGACTTGTCATTTGAGTGAGTTTTAAATGATATACAGGGGCGCCTGGGTGGCTCAGTTGGTTAAGCGACTGCCTTCGGCTCAGGTCAGGATCCTGGAGTCCCGGGATCGAGTCCCGCATCGGGCTCCCTGCTCAGCAGGGAGTCTGCTTCTCCCTCTGACCCTCCCCACTCTCATGTACTCTCTCTCATTCTCACTCTCTCAAAATAAATAATAAATAAATCTTTAAAAAAAAATGATATACAGGATTTTATCTGCTTAAGAGGTGAACGGAAAGTAATGAGAATTAGCATGATTAAAAATATACATATAATGTGATGGTAAGCAGAGAGTAATCTAGTTTTTTTAAGAGGTAAGTGGATACATGCAGATCAGTGAAGGAAGTTAGGCCTAAAAGGGAATAATACACTTAGAAGTTTGTACTTGTAGTCAGTGAGGAGCCATTAGAGAGAATTGTGACATTATCAAAATGACAGTTTAGAAATGGTAATCTTATAATAGTGTTGGTTATCTTGAAAGGGAATGAAACCGGTGGTAGGTAGCCTAGATAGTGGGTAAAAGAAAGAGTCCAAATATAGCATATTAAGAACTATGGTGAAGGTGAGGACAATGGGAAGGAATGGAGAGACAGATACATAATATTTACTAACAACAAGTATATCACCATTAAGACTTGCATCTGGGAGCGCCTGGGTGGCTCGGTCGTTAAGTGTCTGCCTTCGGCTCAGGTCATGATGCCAGGGTCCCGGGATCGAGCCCCGTATCAGGCTCCCTGCTCCGCGGGAAGCCTGCTTCTCCCTCTCCCCCTGCTTGTGTCCCCTCTCTCGCTGTGTCTCTCTCTGTCAAATAAATAAATAAAAATCATTAAAAAAAAAAAAGACTTGCATCTGGGAATAAAAACCAAGGGAGAATGAGTTAAAGATAACTGCAGAGTTTTAATTAAGATGATTAATAATAGGATGGTTCTGTCAGTAGAGATAGGGAAATAAGAAAAGTGGAGAAGATGATAGGTTGGATTTTAGAGAGTAAGTTTAATATGCTGACAGGTGTAAGTAACCAAAAGGCCATTGGAAATAAGGAACTGAACACAGAGGGATTTGGGAATGATTTGGAGGGTGACAGTTGAAGTGTGGCAGTGAATGTGATCACTCAGGACGAGCTTGTAGAGAAAAAAGGAGAAAGGGACAAACTTTGGGGAATCTCCCCTCTCCCATTTAAGGAGTGGAAATAAAATTAAGTCATTAGAAACAGCCTAAATATTCTGAAGAGTAGGTGAGATAGTGGGATATTAAAAACTTAGGGAAAAGAAAGTTTCAAGGACAGATGGCTTAAGCAATGTTACATGAAACAAAGAAGTTAAGAAAGTTGATGGAGGAGTGCATTTATTTAGCCAAATACTAGGTTAACTAGTGACATTGAACATAATTATTTTCAAAATGTGGGGATGGGAGGAAAGATATATAAAACAAATTATAAGTAAAGGAGTGAGCAAGAGAAAGGAAGGAGAAAATAAGAGAATATACAGAAACTTTAAGGAAAGGAGGTAATTGAATGGGTTTCTAATGGAAGGCTTTTATTTATTTATTTTTTAAGATTTTATTTATTTGAAGAGAGAGACACAGTGAGAGAGGGAACACAAGCAGGGGGAGTGGGAGAGAGAAAAGCAGGCTTCCTGCTGAGCGGGGAGCCTGATGTGGGACTCGATCCCAGGACCCTGGGATCATGACCTGAGCTGAAGGCAGACGCTTAACGACTGAGCCACGCAAGCACCCAAGGAAGGCTTTTATTAAAAAAAAAAAAAAAAAATTTGACCTGAAACAGACATATTGTTCTGTTGAAGATGAATTGAGTTTCAGAATGAGACCAGTGGAATAGTAGCTATCCAGAATAGAGTGGAAATGATTTACAATGTTATTTACCGGGTGTTTCAGAGGTCAGAGGGCCTGAGGGTCACAAATGATACCGGGAGAACCAGACAGGAAAGGAATGGAGGAAGGTAAGGGTAAGGAGATTTGAAAGGAGGTTACAAAACAGTTATCTGTCTGGAATCATTTGAAGTTAAATAGCAACAATTCATTTCATCTGCCGCTTGCTTAGTTGAAGCATATTTGAACTCTAACACATGACTGAGCACAGAGAGTCTTTCACAGAATTCACAGGTACCATTTATGGCCAGTTCTCTGGCTATAAGTTTTCACTGCTTAGCCTAAAATAGCAATAGGATTATAACACATGTTGTTTTGTTTTGTTTTGAAGTAATAGTTCTATGATTGTTCAAGCTTAGTGTTTTGCCTCCTAAAATGGTACCATGTGCCCTTTTCTGCATGATTTGCCTCCATGTTTTAAGCTCAGACGTTTATAATCGCATCCCTAAAAACCCCGGTCTATAATTTCACTTAGTAGATGTTTATAATCGCATCCCTAAAACCCTGGTCTGTAAAATCACATTAGTAATTACTAATGTAATTAGCTCTGTTACCTAGATTCTTATTTAAACCTTTGAATTCTGTTTATTTCACATTTAGGTAGCATGCAAGATAACAGTTGGCTTATCTGAATGTTGAGTAGCAATGTTTCCCAGAACACTTTGTGTTTGCAGATATTAGTCCAGTGAGATGCCACAAAATAAAGGTGTGGTGGTCAGGGGTACTGTCAAATAACTTGAGGAAATACAACAAGTTATTAAATCTTATTTCCTTCAGGGAAAAAAAATGCTCCTTAGCATATTAAGGATGTTGGAAGCCCTGCAGGAGAGAAAGTTCATTTTTTTCTAAATCCTGCATTTCTCAAATTTACCTGACCAAAGGGACTGCTACCACCATCACTACCACTCAGTTTGGCTTTTGTGCAAACCTAGTTAATATCCTTTAGAATGTACTTTGGGAAATATTGTTACATTTGAAAATGTGTTAAAAACTAATCCTAGGGGCACCTGGGTGGCTCAGTCGGTTAAGCGTCTGTCTTCGGCGCAGGTCATGATCCCAGTATCCTGGGATCTAGCCCCACATCTGGCTCTCTGCTCAGCGGGAGGACTGCTTCTCCCTCTCCCTCTGCCCCTGCTTGTGTTCCCTCTCTCGCTGTCTCTCTCTCTCTGTCAAATAAATAAAATCTTAAAAAAAAAAAAAACTAATCCTAAACAGTATAAGAATGAATTCTATGAGTGTGTGTTGAGTACTCACTAAAGAGTAGAGAAACAGAGACAGACAAAGATGGTGTGATGATGATGATGTAAATTGTGAAACAAATGGCCGTAGATACCCAAAGGTGACTGTCAGGACCAAAGGAACCAGTAATGTGCGGGGAAAAATATTTCTCCCCCCAAATTGAGGAATGACTCCTACTTCAGTTATGCTAGGATTTAGAAATCAAACCTGGGGCGCCTGGCTCAGTTGGTTAAGCATCTGCCTTCGGCTCAGGTCATGATCCCAGGGTCCTGGGATCAAGCCCTGCATGGGGCTCTCTGCTCAGTGGGAAGCCTGCTTCTCCTTCTCCCACTCCCCCTGCTTGTGTTCCCTCTCTCACTGTCTCTCTTTCTGTCAAAAATAAATAAGTGAAATCAGTCGGTTAAGCGGCTGCCCTCGGCTCAGGTCATGATCCCAGGGTCCTGGGATGGAGCCCCACATCGGGCTCCATGCTCAGTGAGAAGGCTGCTTCTCCCTCTCCCACTCCCCCTACTTGAGTTCCCTCTCTCACTGTCTCTCTGTCAAATAAATAAATAAAATCTTTAAAAAAAAAAAGATTTTATTTGTTTATTAGAGAGAGTGAGAGTGTGCACAAGTGGGGGCGGAGGGGGGACTGGGAAGGGCAGAGAGAGAGGGAGAAGCAGGCTCCCTGCTGAGCTGGGAGCCCGCAACCAGATCCAGGATCATGATCTGAACGGAAGGCAGAAGCTTAACTGCCAGGCACCCCTATCATTAATTATTTTTATTATCTTTTTTTTACTCTGCATTCACCTCCCCTATCTGAAGAGCTCTGCCTTAAGCCCATACTTATAAAGCAATCATTTTCTCCACCTAGTCCTTTAAATTATATTTTCTATACTTCTTTTTTTTAGTTCTGTTATAATTTATACATAAAAGATGGCTGTAATCAGACTTGGATTTCTATCTTTGATCAGAGTGTCATTGTTTTTTTACCTTGTAATTAACTGTCAGAGAGATCGTGCCCACAATAAGAGAAGAATTGCCGTCTCAGCTATTTTGTGGTGGTTGTTTTCAATAGGGCATGAATTATTAATACTACCTTCAGTCCACAGTTTCTGTGGAGGAATCTTTGTAAGCTGCTTGGCTGTTAACATTGCATTTCATTTAGTTAAAACAAGGCATGGAATCAATCAATGAACTTTACTGGGGTCACATAAACTCTCTTGGTTGATAATGTCCAGCATTTTGTTAGCCTCAGATGCCATGTACTTGGGATGGATATCTTTGGGGAATAGTTTATGTTGATAACTCATAAAGTCCTTTTGACATTATAAACACAATCTTAGAATTTGAACTTTTAAGGGAAATTATATTATTAAAATTGATGACCTAAAGGTTACAACGGGGTATGTATACCTTATAATCACTTAGATTCTGTTATAAATAACAACCATACAAAGTCAAGCTTAAATCAAGTTACCCCAGATTGCTTTAACATTCTCTTTCATCTAATCAAATGACTTCCAAAGTAAGAAACTAAATTCTGTTATTAAAATGCAAAAGCTTAACACTCGTCAAGAAGGATTTTTATGCTAGTTCTCATAATTAGCATCTAATGCATAACTTTTTTCTTCTGTTTTAATGTTGACAGCTTCTTCCCTGTGATTCCTTAGAGGCAGATGAAATAGAAAGGCTTAAGCGTGAAAGAAATGATGCCTTGGAGGAAGTGAATACACTCAAGGTAATCTCCAATTTCACCTCCTTACATTTTGTTGAGAAAAAAGAAATGGAAGAATATTATTATATTTATTATAAATTATCAACTATTTGGTATTATTTGTGTTCGTATTAATATCAAATACTTTATAATTCACTTATTCAGTAGGCCTTTAAAGAGTCCCTTTTTTTGTTTACATACTTATTACTTATATTTCCCAATACCCATGTAAGACTCAGTGTAGACAGTGGTTTTTGCTCATTCCTGTGGATCTGGCTTCTTCTCACCCCTTTTTGTTCTCGTATTGGTGGCAAGGATGAGAAACCAACAAAGATTAGATGAGTCAACAAAGCAAGCCATGACAATTTTGGATCCTTAAATGTTCACTGGGAAATAACAATTTTTCATGTTTGTGGGCATGTTTCAGAGGCCTCTCGTTTTGGTAACATAATTTGGAGTTAAGGTAATATGATTAAGAGAAAAAAAGACAGCGTGCCCAAATACACTTTAAGATTTGGGTTCTTTTTATATATTTTCATTCTGTTTTTAGTAGAATATTAAATTTAAATTATACCCTAATTTTCTTTTTTTTTTAATTTTATTATGTTATGTTAGTGACCATACAGTACATCATTAGTTTTGATGTAGTATACCCTAATTTTCACAGAAACCCATTACATTTTTCAAGTCTTTAAGAAAAGCAGTATAAACGACTTGATTTACCCTTAACTCACCATAGGAGTATTTTTTTTTATTATTTTAAATTATTTTCTGAAATAAGTAAAATTCTGTGGTTATTTACTTAATTTTTATTAAAGCAAAATCTTTACACATCTCCAAAAAAAGAAGAAATTTCCTTCCTGCCTTAGTTTTTAAATTCCAACCTTTAGAGAAAGCCATTGTTAAACACACCTTGTTTGTCCTTTCAGAGACTTTTTCTTTATATGGCCAATTACATTTCTAAAAATAAATGTATATGTGCATTCTAACTTTTATGTAGATCTCTTCACACTAAACACTTTTTTACAACTTGCTTCCTATTTCTTTTTCTCTTTGTTGGCCTTATATCTTGGGCTACTTTTCAAGTTAATATGTGCAGATCTGCCAGAATCTTTCTTTTTTTTTTTTTTAAGATTTTATTTATTTGTCAGAGAGACTGAGCAAGCAGGGAGAATGGCTGGCAGAGGGAGAAGTAGGCTCCCTGCTGAGCAAGAAACCCGATATAGGACTCAATCCCAGAACCCAGGGATCATGACCTGAGCCAAAGGCAGACACTTAACTGACTGAGCCACCCAGGTGTCCCCTGCCAAAGTCTTCCTAATGGTTCTCCTGTCATCCAATGGTTCTGTCCTAGGTTATCTAGCCAGTTCATTTTTTTTTTTAAGATTTTATTTATCTATTTGAGAGAGAGAGAGAGAGAGCACGAGCAGGGGGAGGGGCAAAGGAAGAGGGACAAGCAGACTCCCCTCTGAGCAGGAAAACAAATGTGGGACTCAATCCCAGGACCCTGGGATCATGAGCTGGGCTGAAGGCAGATGTTTAGCCAACTGAGCCACCCAGGCGCCCCTAGGCAGTTCCTTAATGATGAATATTTAGGCTACTTCTGGTTTTCCTCTACTTAAAATAAGTCCATCATAAATAGCTTTGTAGATGTATTGTTGGGCAATTTCTACAATTGTAAAAGTACAAACTGAATATATTTCTGAAAGTGGAATTGCTTTATTAAAGGATATGGACACATAAAATTTTATACATGTTACCAAGTTACCCTTCAAAAGGCTTTACCAATTCCTGTTCCTTCCAAGTATGTACTAGCATTCCATTACTAATGGAATATTTAATAGACTTTTTTACAACTTTGAAACCACTTCTACATTTTTTGGTATAATAGTTAAGAATAAAGATGAAAAAACATAAATTTAGTTTTAAGAATAAATTGACAATAATTTCTTCATATTCTCTTTGAAAATATCTCCAATGATGGCTATGTTGGTAAAATAGCATTTTATATAGTTCATCTCTGCATAAGCCATTAAATCTTTTTTTATTATGTTAATGACCATACATTACATCATTAGTTTTTGATGTAGTGTTCCATGATTCATTGTTTGTGTATAACACCCAGTGCTCCATGCAGAATGTGCCCTCTTTAATACTCATCACCAGGCTAACCCATCCCCCCACCCCCCTCCCCTCTAGAACCCTCAGTTTGTTTTTCAGAGTCCATAGTCTCTCATGGTTTATCTCCCCCTCTGATTCCCCCCCCTTCATTCTTCCCCTCCTGCTATCTTCTTCTTCTTCTTCTTCTTTTTCTTTTTTTTTAACATATAATGTATTATTTGTTTCAGAGGTACAGGTCTGTGATTCAACAGTCTTACACAATTCACAGCACTCACCATAGCACATACCCTCCCCAATGTCTATCACTCAGCCACCCCATCCCTCCCACCCCCCACCACTCCAGCAACCCTCCGTTTGTTTCCTGAGATTAAGAATTCCTCATATCAGTGAGGTCATATGATACATGTCTTTCTCTGATTGACTTATTTCACTCAGCGTAATACCCTCCAGTTCCATCCACGTTGTTGCAAATTGCAAGATTTCATTCCTTTTGATGGCTGCATAATATTCCATTATATATATATACACCACATTTTCTTTATCCATTCATCTGTCAATGGACATCTTGGTTCTTTCCACAGTTTAAGCCATTAAATCTTATGGTTCATCAGAACTTTCAGAGATGCCTGGGTGGCTCAGTTGGTTAAGCACTGGACTCTTGATTTTGGCTCAGGTCATGATCTCAGGGTTGTGAGATCAAGTCCTGTGTCAGGATCTGTGCTAGATATGGAGCCTGCTTAAGACTCTCTGTCTCTCCCTCTCTCTCTCTCTCTCAAAAAAAACAAAAACAAAAATAAAAAAAAACAGCTTTCAGAAGCTCTTGGATCTTTTCATTTTCTTAATGTGTATCATTGTTAAATTTAGTGATATTTTTCAGTTTTTATTTAAATATCAGTACTAATTATTAGAATTTTAACTTAAAATTGCATTTATGTAACATTTAAACAGGGCTCCCCTAAGGAGCTCTTCAGTAAATCAGAGTTCATCTTTAAAGTCTACGACATGTAACTAAACATATCCTAATGTGACAGGACCTGAAATCCCAGATACAGCATATTCTATATTTTATAATTTCCTTTACCCGGAAACCTATCTGTTGGCTGAGAACCACTTGATTGGCCATGTAAAAGAGTGTACACAGCCATAAATACTTCTTCGAGGTAATATGTATTTCTACTTGTCTTACACACAGATAACAGAGGTTGTTCAATGAGGTTCATAGAGCATGTAGGTATTCTCTCATCACTTGAGACATCTCTATTCATGTCTGATTTGAGGCACAAATAAAAATAAAAACAAGATCATTTGATGCCAGTGGCTAATTTTTATTTGACAAGAATGATTTTTTAAAAGTGCTGTGGGCTTTATTTAACTTAAAGCCTTTCTGCAAAGTTCAGATTGCTACTGCTTTGCAAAGCTGAATGAAAATAGATGTATTTTCCATTTACAGATGCAAAAAAACTAGGACACAGAGTGAAGGTGACTTGCTAGAGCATGAGAGCCAGCAGTTTCTTGGCTCCTGATCTGTGGCAGATTCATTAGATTGCTATATTAAATTCATCTTCATATACCTTCATTTCGTATCTTTGATAAGAATGTGCTAAAATATACCAGGAAAACAGAATGCTTCTTACAAACATCGCAGTGTTGCCATGAATATTTACCACTCAATCTAATCTTCAAGCAATTCCTCTGCTCAAGTTTATAGTAAAATGGTCCTTAAATTACTCATAGTATTTCTGATTTGATCAATAAAATGTGGATTTATTTATGATATATTTTTAAAAGCTGGATGTTTTAGGGTATGTGCTTAAATTAATTTTAATTTCAAAGATAATATTTTATTTGCATGCATAATATTATTTATTCTACCTTAGTAACTATTATTTTATATTTTGGTTACACTAGTCATATCTTCATTTGTATGGATAATCTTCCAAGCACAAGGTAAATTAGAAAAACAATAGTCAATCCAGTTTCATATGTCCTCTTTAGTGTGGTAAGAGACCTTTACTTCTAAGTTGTAATAATAATGCTCTTCAATTTGGAAGCTCTTTGGTGATGATTGCTATTGCCCAAAATTTAGTTAGTATTTACACATTTTCATCCTAATTGAAATATTTTGGAGCTCAGATTTTGAGATTGTACAAAATGGCTAATTAAAGTAACAGAAAATGCATTTATATCACAGTTGTACTGTAAATAACTAATTACTTTTAAATGGTATGTGTAAAGCCAGAAAAGTGACTGAGAACTGCATTTTCAGGTTGTAACAATTGGATGTTTGGAGAATTTATAAATGTTGAAATAAAGCCCTAAACATGTAACTCATTGATACTTCATAATGTGTTATTAATTCAGTGGTTTTTAAATATAGGAAAAGTTATTTGAATCAGAAAGACAAAAGAAACAGTTGACGGAAGAACTCCAGAATGTGAAACAAGTGAGTGCATGTATTATATATATGTGCTTTGTGTTAATGTGGGTAAACATATGCTGTATAATGTCCCGGACCTTACAGATGTGAATAATATAGTATAAAATAGCATAAGTCTTAAAATCAATCACTTTCAGATTCTGTATCTGTGCTGAAGTCCTGCTATTATTGCTCAAAGAAATTGCTTTCAAAACCAGATAACCATGGTTATCAGAAGTAAATGATCAATCTTACTGCTTTTCTATTCTTTTTTCTTTCTCTATTATTTTTCCTTTTTCTATCCCTTTTTCTTTTCTTCTGTTACTCATACCTTACTTTATTAAAGAAAATACAAAACAAGGGGCGCCTTGGTGGCTCAGTTGGTTAAGCGACTGCCTTCGGCTCAGGTCATGATCCTGGAGTCCCGGGATCGAGTCCCACATCGGGCTCCCTGCTCAGCAGGGAGTCTGCTTCTCCCTCTGACCCTCTTCCCTCTTGTGCTTTCTATCTCTCATTCTCTCTCTCTCTCAAATAAATAAATAAAAAATCTTTAAAAAAAAAAGAAAATACAAAACAAGAAGAAAACCCTTCAAGTCAGAGCATTTTTTACTTTTATTTTTTAATAATAAAAAGTAAAAACTTATTTTTACTCTACATCATTCTTTACAGAATTTTAGGTACCTTGCAACAAAGCAAATACAATGGCATTATCATAAAATAGATATACAAATAAACAAAATATTGATAAGGGTAGAAAGATAAAAAGAACATAGCTAGATATCAGTGGCAATCATCTGATTTTGAATTTCCCGAACATTATCTCCCCGGAAAACATAAAGTCAACAAAGAGAGCAAATAAAACCATATAGGACTCATACCTTCAATATGACTGTGACATAAAGTGCCACATCCTTCAAAGTACATATAAATAGAGTAAAAAAATTTCAACAAAGTCCTGCAGCCTTCCTGCCACTGAAACTTGGGATACAAAGAACAGAAGTGGTAAGCCTTAAGTGACTCTGAAAAAGAACAGGAAAAAACAAAGTAATTAGATGAGGTACAAACACAATCACCTCCAGAAAGAAATTGCAACAGTGAATGACAGAATCTAAGCACAGATCAGTATTGGGTGGTTCTCAGGACTTGAGAAAGTGTGCAATCAGAAGTGACAGCCTTGGAAAATCATTGCTTCTGGGGAATAACCACATGAACAGAAACAGGGTGGTATCCCTTGGAGACGAGGCAATAAGGAAATAAGAGGGGAAAATTAAAGATCTTGCAGAAATGAAAGAGAAACAAGACATACCAATCCTTTCCATCTACCCCCACCATGACCTTCAACAACATGATCCATAAAGAAACTGCACAGAAGAGGGTGCTGTTGAACTAAGAACTCTTTCTGTGCTGGAAAAAATAAAAAAATGAAGTAGGAAAAAAAAAATTAAATCTGTCCCCCTTATTACAAAACAACTGTGAAAAATCAGACAATATGAATTAAAGCTTTCCTTCTGATGAAAACTCTCCAAAACAATTCAACCACAAAGCTGAAGAAAACTAACACAACACTCAAAATTCAATTAAATATCCTCAAACAAAGCATTTGGCACTAAGAAAAAACACCTCAAATCAGAAATTTTAAAAAACTAGAATAGAAATGATATATTAAAAAAGCAGGAAGAAATAAAATGAGAGTTGGTAAAACTTAGGAAGGAATTAGAAGAAAAAGACAAAAACATACCAGAAATGAAAACTAAGTTTGTAAGTTGTCCAAGAAGTTATAGAAATGAAAAGGCATTGAGAAAAAAAAAAAAATAACTAGGAAAATGATAGTGAAATAAGGAAATTAAAGAGTTTCTTGAAGAAGTAAAACAACTGAACAATGCTAATATTTAGAACTATAATCCATAAAAACTTTACAGAAATAAAAGAAGACCTGTATCTTATTAGTGCAAACTAGAAGAAATCTGGACTAGAAAGATCAACTTTAGGACATATCCAGTAAACTTATTAGGCTTTAAAGATAGAGGGGAAAATGCACAGTGCCTCTAAGTGAAAAGATCAGACAACTTACAAAGACAGTAGAATTTGACCAGCATCAGCCTTCTCAACACAACAAAATAAGGCCACAGTAGAGAAACATTTTCAATAAACTAAAGGAAAGAAAGTGTAAACCAAATTGTATACAGCCAAGCTGACTTTCAGATATCAAGGCCTGGAAAAAATTTGGAATGTGCCAGTATTCAGGGAATACTGCAAATATGTAGTATTCCTGAAGAATCTAGGAGAGGATGAGTTTCATCCAGCCAAAAAAATAACTGGATAACTTTGTCCAGAGTTTCCCAGAGAGTGAGCATTTCACAGATGTTATTTTATAGCTGAGACCAAAATGAGTGAGTTTGCAGGTAAAAGAACAACACATTAACAGTACATGTCTGACAAAAAAAAAAAAATCAAAAAATGCAGTTTATTTTTAAAAAAATCAGAGGACAAAGGAGGGGGAAAAAAGGAGGAAAATAGAATATAACCACTTTGTTGTATAAGTAAAGGTATCATTTAAAACTGATGTCAAATAGTAAAAGATTAGGTAAAAATAGAGGCGATTTCAGGCACTATAAAAAAGTAATAATACAAAGGTAACCTATAGAATGAAAAGACAAATCTTCCTAAATACCAAAAGAAATTTTTTAAAGAGCAAAGGAAATACACAAACACATATAAATATAATATATGCACATAGTAATTTCAACAAAATATGACCGAATTGAGACCAAACATAATAGTTATCTCAACTAACATGAATGGGTTATTATTAAAACTATCTCATCTATTAAAAGGTTGTCTTAGGAAAATATATTTTACCAAAACTGACCTCAGTAGAGATGAAAAGCTTAACAGAGCAGTTTCTGTAAAAGAAATAAAGTTATCAAGAAACTACCCTCTAGAAGAGGACCAGGCCAGATGTTTCACAGAGAAATTTATTTTTTTTAAAGATTTT